ATGCTGTGCCCCGAGCGGCTCCTCAGGCCAGCCTTGGCCTGGTCACCTGAGGTGGCCCTGGTGCTGGGGATTGGGAAAGGGGCCCGAAGTGGGCCAAGGTCTCTGGGAGGCCCTGGCATCCAGCCAGGAGCAGCACGGGATGGACAGGGTCAGGGACCGAGGCTGTCAGGGGCCTTGGGAGCAGGCAGGCATGGAGGGAAACCCCAGGCAGACCCCATGAGGTCGAGGTAGGCCTCAGAGTCAGGACAGCAGGGGAGGGTGGCCTTTTGGGGTCAGAACTGGGCACTGGCGTGAGAGGTCTTGGGCAGGGCTGAGACGCAGGGTGTAAGGGCCGACACCAGGGTGGCAATCGCAGTCACAGGTGAGTGGGGTCCGTCAGAGGACAGGGCTCCTGGGAGCAGTGGGTGGGATGGAGCCCCAAGGTCACTGTCAGGTGGAGTTCAGGCTGAGTGTCCAGCAGTGATCTGTGGCAGGGACTGGTCAGTCTGGACAGTGGTGTTCACACCCCAGGGACAAAAGAGGCAGAATCCCCAGGGCAAGCAGAACCCAGGACGGGGTGCCGGCGGGGAGCGCCGAGGGCAGGGGGATGGGGGTGCTGGAGGCAGTGGGGGAAGGAGCCCCAAGTGCAGTGGGATGGCCTGGTGGGTGGGGGCCTGGGGGCGCCGAGAGTGGGCGTGGGCCTGGGGTACATGTGCAGGGGGAGGGAGGCCCCTGCCTACCGCCCACACCCCGTCCTCCCCGTGTCCCCTGCTGCCCTGAGGGCCTGTGCGGCGGGTGGGGCTGGGCAGGGATGCAAGCCTTGCACCCGGGAAGTTTGGCCCCCACCCAAGAGGAGTCGTGAGTCTTAAAGCAGATTCAGCTCATAAATAATGAGGCAGGAACAGGCATCTATTTGTTCATGATGGCGTTTAAGTCACCAATTAGGAGCTACATGCGATTTTCTTGCCAGTTTGCCAAAAACCTGTTAAAAGTTTTATTAATGTGAAAAGAGAGGGCTCTGCTTTCTCCTGGTGGCAGCAGCCGGGTGGCGCCGAGCCTCCTCAGTGGTGGGGGCCGGACCACACTTCCGCTGAGGTTGCCTTCCACTTCCCCTGCCAGCCTGGCCCGAGACTGCTCGTCCCCTCTGCTTCTCTCCGGCTCCCCAGCTTCTGGTACACCACCACCCCCCTGCCTGGCAGCCACAGGTCTGGGAACCTTGCATATCCTGGGAAAAGGGCTGTTTTCCATGTTCCCACCTGGAATCAGCACCACTGGCCTGTGCCCAGACAGAGCCAGGCCCGGCCGTCTGGGTGGCCACACTTGCCCGAACCAAACATTTTTCCTTCTGGAAACAAAACTTGCCCTTGAATGCCAGGTGGAAGCATCCCGGTGTGAGGGAGGCTCCGGCAGAGTGCGGAGCCCCTCCTGGGACCACAAGGACCAAGGGGCACTTGTTCTGGATGCCAGCACTGCGCCCCCTCTCATGGCGCCTAGCCCAGGCCTGGGCTGCCCTGGTGTCGCCCTCACTCTGGGCCACTCGCCTCTGCCCGATCCCCTCGCCCTCGTGCCTCTCCTCACTGCCACCAGAGGGGTCTTCCTAAGCCCCCAGATCAGGGGTGGGGGCATCCCTCTCTGAGCCTGGACCCCCCTCCCCCATCGCCCAGCAGCTTGTCCTCCTGACGTAGTGACGTTTTAAGAAGCTGGCGTCGGAGCAGAAATAGGAAGGCAGGCATCCAGCCCCCAGCACCATGTTCCTTGACCTTCTAGGTCCCCCGCCTTGGCCGGGATGGGCTTGGGTGCCTGAGGCCCAGCCAGTCCCCACCCCTGCCTCCCTCCCGCTGACCTCGGAGGACAGAAGGGCTCCGAGGGCCCCCTCCTCTTTGGTTTGCTCGGTCACTTCTGGGCCACACTCCATGCCACCGCGTCCTCCTGTACCTCCTTCATTTTGCTGGAGCTTCCCCTGAGCTTCGTGGGTGCTACAGGAACTCCTTTTAGCAGCCTCTAATTCATGGCGGATGACGCTCACGTCACTTAGGTCCTTTTCTGTCTCTTTGGGGCAGTGAGAACGAGGTGTCTGGAGTAGATGCTGGCCCTGCAGGCAACGTGATACGGGCGGAGGGGGCTGTGTGTGCATGTGTGTGGGCGTGTGTGTACACGCATGTGCACGTGCATTAGTGAGAGCAGCAGCAGGGCTACACCCGCTCTACACTGTGTATTTACACCTTGAGTTCACCCTGGGGTTCCCTCCTGGGGGTTCTGTGCCCCAGGTGTCAGAAGTGGACCAGCAGGTGTAGGTTCTGTCCCCTTGATGCCCCATCACGTCTGGACCTCAGACTCCTCATCTGCAAACCTGGGGCTGCACCGTGTCGACGAGGGGTGCCCTGCAACTCTGCGGGGCACACACTGTTGTTGGTGGAGCGTCCCCAGGAGGGTGGCCAGAGCCACCAGGTGGGGACATGTCACCCAGCCAGGCGTAGGAGGGGCTGTGTCAGCATCAGGCGACACTGAGCACAGGCTGCACACAGTGGAGGAGCAGGCGCTGGGGCCCCAGGTGTGCAGGTCTGGGTGCCATGCGACAGTCCTGGAGGGCTCAGGGTCATCCACGTGTGGGGCCCGACAGGGAAGGGGTGCCAGGAGGAGGGCGGGAGGCCGAGTGAGCTGAGTCAGCACCGTGGGCCAGGCCACCTGCTTGGCCAAAAGGTCAACGCAGAGGAGGCCTGAGGTGGCTGTGGGGCAGTGATACCGCTCGAGGGACCTGCCAGTCACTCATGAGTGATGCGTGCATTCCACACAGCCCGGCAGTCCCCAAGCCCAGGAGCCCGTGGGTCAATGCGGGAGGCACGGCCTGGGTTCCCGAAGGCGCAGACAGGCCCACAGTGGCCGGGCTGAGGCCTCAAGAGTCTCCTGTTCGTGCAGCACAGACTTGACTTGGCTCTGGCCCAACTCAGCTTGTTTTCTTACTGTCAGATTCAGATTCTGGAGATGCCGTCCAAGACGTCAGTGTGCTCCCTGAAGCCCGAGGCACAGGCCAGGCTGGGCATGCCCATGTGCCTGCAGCTCTGGCAGGTAAGGCCCAGCGCCCGCCAGCCACGCCCACCGACCACACCTGCCGGCCACGCCCGCCAGGTGTGAATCATGCCCATTAGGGACTTGGTTCCTCATCACCTACGGGCACTGGCCCCTGGGAGGCGTGTGCACAGCGTCCTCCTCAGCCTTGGTGTCCCCAGCCCTCCAGCCCTCCTGCTGCGAGGACGCCTACAGACCCTTTGGGGATGCTGGGCTTGTCCTCGTCTTCGCAGGGAGGTATGGGAGACAGCGACCCCCTCCTGGGGGAGCCACATGCTCCCCTCTGGTCTGCTCACCGGCGCGGCCTGGCGTGGGGCCGGGAGGGGGTGCTGACTAACCCTGCAAGCCTGCACGGCCCCTGCGTCGCCAGGATTAATTTTTGTTACTTCTTTGCCTTGTTGAGGCTGGAGTGGGCTTAATGTGCTGGCTTTCCCTGCGGCCACGCTTGGAATTTCTGATCCACGCCATTTCCTTCTTTCTTGGATGTTCTCTCTGATTAGAGAGGGTCTGGAGGCATCTCCTGGGGCTGCGGCAGAAGCCGGGGTGGGGGGGCGGGCAGTGGAGTCACAGGCCTGAGTCCCTGCAGGATGGGTTCTGGCTCCGGGGCAGAGCGCGAGGCCTGGGAGGGACCCTCCTGACCAGAGGGGCAGCTTCCCACCCCCAGCGGTCAGCACCAGCTCAAAATGGGCGTCTCCTCCTGGGGGCAGCAGAACAGATGGTCCGGTGCATTCATGTGGAAAGAGTCTCGGCAGCGTCTTTACAGCTGCAGAGGCCATGGGGAGCAGGTCACTGACCAGGGCTGTCCTGGACCGCTGCCTACGGCCTGTTTTTCAGCTCCGAGCAGCTCACCTGTGCCTCCTCAGAGCCGCCCCGGGCTGCCTGGGACCAGGGGGAAGCCGTTCCTGCCCCTGCTGTGACTCTCCATACGAACCCGGCCAGGCTCGCATGGTTTGGAGGTGTCTGTGTGCCCGCAGGGTCCCTGGGCCCAGCTCTTGTCCCTCCAGGGCCCTGCCCTGTCTTGCAGTTGGTGTCCCTGCCGTCTCTGAACTGAGAGAAGCCCATGGGGGAGGGGCGTGAGGAAGTGGGGGCTCTGAGGCTCACCCGGATGGCAAAGCTGCTGGTGCCAGCAGGCAGGGTGGGGGGGCGCCTGGAGGGGCAGCGGAGGCTGTGGAGGTGGCCTGGTGCTCACAGGCCCCGGGCGGGACGGGGCTGCATCCGCTCACCCTCCCTCCCTGGAGATGCTGTCATTGCCTAATCGTGTAAGAATTCCATCAGAAAAATGTGCAGAAATGGGATGTACAAACTTGTCAAGGTAATTGACGTGGTTGACAGAAGGACAAATCGAGTTGTGTTAGTTGATATAGATCCAGCGCAAAGCATCCTGTTAAGAAAAGTCTATGCTGATTTGAAATGTCCCTTTATTCCTCGCCAAGCCTGGAGGTCCAGGTTATAGCTTATTGATCTGAGTGTGGCAGAGTGGCCCAATGAGGGATTCCTTTCTGAAACATTCAGAGATTTCTTGTTTTGCTCCTGAGAGTGGATGGCCTGTGTTGTTAGGATGATTGTCATGTAGGAGGTCAGAGGTCGTCCACACCAACCCTCAGAGCAGGTCCTCCAGTGTCCCCCCCACGCCCCCAGCTAAGGGCTCCCCGGGGAACCTCGAGGTGCTGGGGGGCGCCTCGGGCTGGCACACCCGGGGTGGGGGTGGGGACGCAGAGCGAGCAGAAGTCAGCCTGGCACCAAGGGCGTGGTCGCCAGAGAACTGAGACCCCAGAGCCCTGACCCGCCTGCGGGGTCTATCCTGGGGGGCCGCAGGGACCCTGCCTGCCAGGAGAGAAGGTGGAGGGGCCTCAGTGCAGGGACAGAGCCTGGCACGGGGCCCTGTGGCTGGTCTGGCTCCTGCCCTGGCCGCCCCGTGTGCCTGCACAGGGGGCTCAGCGGTGTGCAGCCCCTGCTCCAGCCTAGGCACTCAGAGCTCCCAGACCATAGGCAGTGGGGGAGCCCTGGATGCAGGAGGAACATGCAGGGTGGGGGCTGGGGAGCAGGCTGGGCCAGGCAGTGGGGTGGGAAGCTGGTGGGAGGACACAGTAGTGCCCCAAGGGGGACGGACCCAAGGGGCCCCGGCAAGTTCCTCACAGCTGCTTTCTTGGACTCCTCCTTCCTGCTTGTTTTTGGGAGCACATGTTATCATCAGAAACAAGGGCTTGTGGGAGGCGTCCTCCAGATCCCAGAGCTGGTCTGCACGGGGCTCCCCTGGCTCCCCTCACTCTGCGGGGCCCTGAGACATACCCCTCACACCAAGCACGGCGAGCTCTGCTTCCTGGGGTTCAGGACGTAGCTAGCGTCCACTCATGTTAGACGGTGTGCAACACCTGGGCATGGAGCCCCCACTCACGGTGTGCAACACCTGGGCATGGAGCCCCTCTGGGTGGGCAGCAAGCTCCAGCAGGTGGGCCAGGAGGGCCCGCCCGGGTGCTGTCGGCCACGCCTAGGCACGTGGCTCAGCACCAGCCTTGCCTGCCAGCAGCGGGCCCCCACTGGAGCTGCAGGTGACCCTGGAGACAGCCTTGCTGGCGGCCCCCAGGCCCTGTGCTCACCGCTGGCCATCCAGGGTTTGAGGGCCGCCGGCTGAGCTCCTGGCCTCGGGAAATTCTCCGCTGGCAGGGGGTGCTTGGTCGTTTCTGAGCCCTGGGAGCTCAGTGGAGAGCAAAGGTGCTGGGTCCTGGCGGTGGTCCCGGGACTGGGCACCAAGCACGGGGCGGCCGTTCTCGGTCGGTGCCAGGCCGACCCAGGGTCCCCATGCTCCCCTGCAGGCAGCTGCACAGCCCTCTGACCCGCGCCCTCATCCATCACGCGGCTCGGCCAGCAAGGCGCTGACTCTGCAGCCTTGACGGTTGGGGGGCTTCCGCGGCGACGTTGACAAAGTACAGAAGGTTCATTTTTCATGGAGACGGAGCTCGAGATTTTCTTTGGCCGGCAGTTCTAGACAGGTGGCCAGCCCCGCCCAGGGGTGGCCGCACGTCTTGGCCGGTGGGAAGGAGTGGGAGGACCAGCCAGTGTCCCAGACCCCGACGGCAGGCACCGCACCCAGCGCTCACTGGCCCCAGTCTGGGTGTCAGCCCCCTGGGGGTGGGCAGACACCCCAGGGCTCAGTGGGGAAGGCGGCCTATCTCAAGCTCCTTCTCCTCCAGAAGGCCCGGGACCCCCGAGCATCCCCCAGCTGACAGCGAGCTGTCCCCGCAGGCTGACTCCAATCCCCGCCCTCTCCTCCTGGCTGGCTACGAGGACGGCTCCGTGGCCCTGTGGGACGTCTCCTCACGGAAAGTGTGCAGCCGTGTCTCCTGCCACACGGAGCCCGTCATGGGTCTGGACTTCGACTCCCAGGAGGCCAGGGGCGTCTCAGGCTCTGCGGAGAAGGCACTGGCCGTCTGGAGCCTGGATGAGCAGCAGGCCCTGCAGGTCAGTGGGCCAGGCCCGAGGTGTCATTTATCCTGTTCTGCACCAACAGTCTGATGGGCTGGAACAATATTTAGGCATGAAGAGGACTTGTGGCAGGTCCGCAGTTAATTAATCATCGGACCCGGCGCGGGCGGGCCTGGCGGGCGGCAGTAGAGGGGCCGGCGCTCGTGAGCCATTCACAGGGTTTGGGTTTCCCTCAGACCTTGGCTAATAGCGGTCACGTCTCGTCCATCTAGAGGAAAGGCATGTAGAATCCAGGACTGTGCAAGCCCATTTGCAAAACTCAGAGGAATTTAGTCAGTAAGGAACTGATCAATCAAAAAGAAAAAAAAAAAAAAAAAATGGCATTATTTCATTCTTTCTTATGGCTAATGTTCCATTATATATATGTACCACATCTTCTTTATCCATTCCTCTGTTGATGGACATTTAGGTTGCTTCCGTGTTTGAGGACCTTCTTTATCAGGTATTTTTGAAGTGGAGAACAAGCCCTGGATAGTGACTTACCAAGACTCTTTAATCTTTGTTTCCACTCTGTAATACAGGAGAGCAGCTGTGGGAAAGGCTGATGATTTTCTCTAGCAGGCTAGAGCAGGAGCACATGTGCACACAGAGAGGTTACCAAAACTAACTGTAGCATAGCCTCTGTTTAAAAGTAATAATGACTGTACAGGTCTTGGATTCAAACAAGCTAGTTAACCCAAGCCATTTGCATAAGAACTTTGAAGACTTTTGTAATTCTGTTGTGTTAAGTAGGTGTGCCTTCCCACATGTACTTGTGAATAGTGTTGATTACTTGTTATAAGCCCATAGTCTATACGTTGCACCAGGCTGTTTGGCTTCACTAGACTCCTATACCTATTTCTTCAAAACTCCTGTACCCAAGGAAGGCCTGCATGCACGGATTCAACATAGTCTCAGCATTTATTAAATAGAACTTCTTGGCATTTAGTCACACATTCTCGTGTGACACCTGTTTTTCCTCCTGATTCTAAAGTCTAAGTCAGCAGCTATCATATTTTCAGCCTACAATATATTCTCTACATAAAAAAAAAAAAAAAAAAAAAAAAAACCCAAACCCTACATGGAGAAATCCCTTAGTGAGGCCCCTGTGGCTGTCTGCAAGCTGCCCCGGGGGCAGTGGGAGGGCCGTAAAGGCTCAGTGGCTTCCCATCCCACGTGGCTGGGGGGCCCTTCGGGGCCACATCTGGGTGCCCAGTGCTCAGCCCTGTTGGGAGGGGGGGATGGAGTTGGCCGGGAGGGGAACCTCCTGGCCAGGCCTCAGACGGGTGAGGTCCTGGGGAGTGAGGTGCTGGATGTGCCCTGTGCCTGTCAGCCCCCTGAGGGTGGCCTGAATGCACACTGGCTTCTGGGCGGGGGCGCCCGCATTAGCCAGGAAGCCTCAGAAGGCTGAGACCTGACCACGGCCGGCTCTGCAAGCCCAGGTCTGGTGGGGGAGTGGGGCCCCAGCGGGGAGCCGTGTATCCCACCTCCTGGAGCTCTGGAGGACAGGGCCTGTGGCTGTGCCCTCTACAGGGGCTGCGTGGTCCAGGCTTCCCTGCAGACAGGAGACCGCAGGAAGAGGGCATCTCTCGGGCCCTCCCCAGATGGGAGGCCTTGCCCAGCAGCCCGGGGCCCCTACAGCCAGGGAAGAGGCTCTGTGCACTTGGGTGGGTGGGAGAGGGCAGGCATGGGAGAAAATCGGGAGAGAATGCCATGCCCAGCGGGCATTGCCACGCCCTGGGTGCAGGATAGCTAGGGGCAGGGCTATCAGGGGTGGGTGATGGGTCCTGGGCAGGAGCTAGGGGCCGAGGGCGAACTCAGCAGGGAGACCTTCCATGCGGCAGCTGGAGGGACCGCTCTAGCTTCCTACAAAGCACAGTCCATGGGAAGACCAAGCTAGAACCAGAGCGAGTGGCCATGGCTGCAGGGTCTGGGAAGGGTCCTGAGGGGGGAGCAGCCCTGTGGAGTCCCACAGAGTGGGGAGGGAGAGGGAGGGAGGGGTCATGTGACACATGAGGACAAGGCAGGTGTTCCAACTTCCTTGGCATCACCCCCTGCCCCCCACGCCTCGCCCCCGTCCCCGCACTGCAGACCAGCCTGTGCCACACTCGCCTGACTTGCAGTAAAGCAGCTTCCCGTCCGTCTTCCTGTCCTGTGTCCCAGGGAGTCCACAGAGGCCCTGCAGGATGGGGTCAAACAGGCCTCCCTACGGGGCTGGGGCTGCCTGTGGGGGTGGAGCTTCTCCAGCCTCCATCCCAGAGGAAGCATCTCCAAGGCCTTGAAGTCCTGGATGTGGGTGGTGGGAGTGGAAGTCACCATGGTGCTCATCTTTAGAAATGGGGCGGAGGCACGTGGTGCTGGGTCTTCATGTTCTGAGCCGTCAAGGACACAGAGCCTGGCCAGGTGGGCATCGGGGTTCCCGCCACACCCTCCTCTGCTCCTGCCTGGTGGGAACCAGGCAGCGACCCCCACCCCCATGAGGTCCAGTGCTCTGTCCTGCTGTGGCTTCAACTTCAGCCCAACTTTGCAAATGCCTAGAGACCCAGGTGGCTCTCCTGAGGGCCCCACTGACTGTAGTGCCCCCAGGACCCTGGGAAGAGGCCCCTCCTGCCGTCCTGGCCCAGGTCGGCCTGGTCTCCCCTGGCCTGTTGGAGAAACAGCTGCAGGAACTTCAGACTTAAATTTATGGGGCATGTTCCAGCTCAGAGCTGGAGGTTCACTGTGCATGAATTGGAAAGTCAGAGCATAGGGAGGCCAGGGCAGCCGGGAGGTTGGTGGAGGCCGTGCCGCGGCCAGGTCCTCTCTCAGCGTGCATCCCAGGAGGCGCCGCTCCTCCCTCTGACCGCCCACTGTGGCCTCGCTGGAGACATCCATGTCCCCAGAGGCCCAGACACCTTCAGGTCCTGGAACGCAGGCCTCAAGGAGGAGGTGTCAGGGCCTCTAGGGCCTCAGCGTCGCAGTGTCCACAGGCACCTCTCCCTGGGCTCTCGGTGCCGCAACTGGCCCTGAGGCGCTGGCCGTGGAGCCACATGGGCAAAGATGTGCCTTACCTCGCGGCAGCAGCTCTAATGAGCCCAAATCAATCTCCCCGGGCGGGCGCTGCAGAGGTGCAGATGGGGCTCCTGCGTGGAGTGAGGGTAATGGGAACCAGATGGGACCGTGCTGCGCGCGCATTCCTGGCACCTGAGGTCATGTGCTGCGAGAGCCACTGGTGGCCGGGATCCTTCCTGGAGGGTCCTGGTCCGAGACGGGCTTGGCCAGAGGCCACGGCGGTAACTGGAGCCTTCGGCCACCCTCTCTAGGATGTTGGACGCTCACCTACCTGTAGGGGCTGCTCACTCTGCTCCCCTCGAGCCCGGGGTCTGGGCCTTGGCTGTCGCCAGACACAGGTGGTGTACAGACCTGCCTTCCCTCCCACACTTGGGGCAGGGTCCACGGCCTTGAAGCAGGGACTGATTTACAGCCAGCGGTATTTCTAGGCCCTGAAGTAATAATGAGGCCCCCACCCCAGCCAACCCAGGCTGGAGTCAGACGACCACTCCCCCCCACCACACCCACGGCTGGTCGGCCAGGCGTCCCCTCCTCCCCGCTGCGTGGCCGCTGCCCGCCTGCTCCCCAGCCCTGCCGGGGGCTTCCCTCTAAAGTGTCAGCAGCTGGTGACACTTGGGCTGGTGCGAGGGAGACCATGGGGCCCCGAGCTGAGGAGCTATGGGCACAACACCACCCCCACCCCCCCACGCACACAGCTCGGGACACCATGGGCGGGGCTCCGGCCACCTTGACCACACACGGGTGCTGTGGGCCCCGATAGGACTGGTCTCTTCCAGTCCAGGTCCCCACTGAGAGGGCCTTGTGCCTTGATTTTGAGCTTCCAGGAGGGGCTGCGAGGGTGGGGGCGCATCACTCCTGTCCCCTTTCCCCTGGGCCGTCCTGGGCATCTCAGCCCCTCCCAGGTGGCAACACTGGTGTGGGTGCACTCCACTCTGCACCCGCCTCGCAGCCACAGCCACACAAAGACCACTGCTCAGGCTGCTCTGCAACTCCCCGGCCACCACCTGGGCTCCCGGCTCCACCAGCACACAGCAGATTTGGGGGGCTCTGTACTTCCTGGGAAACATCCCCATTGTTAACAAATCCACCTTGAAGCAGGGCCCCAAGTGGGTTCCGGCGCACCCACTGCTCCGAGCCCAGGGCGGAGTTCCTGGGAGAGGAAGAGTTGGGGGCTGTGACGGTCACCTTATCCTTGTCCATGAGTTGGGGCTCAGGCTGACGCACCCCTGCTGCGGGCACACATGTGGGCTTTGCCTTCTCATGCGGACATGGCTGCACCAGCTTCCAGGGGAGGGGGTGGTGGGGGTGAGGGCCATGCTGGGCACCCACCCAGTGAGTGGGTTATGGCTGCTTGTGTGCAGCACAGACAGGAAGCAGTGAGCCTGGATTCCTCTGGATGAGAGCACCGGAGTGGCAGAGAGCGTGGGACATGCGGGGATGCTGCTGGTCGCCATGGATGTAGAAGGGGCCCGGGACATCACGGGCCTGGGCACTGGACAGAGGCCGCTGGAAGGCAGGGCAGGCATGCGTGTAGGGGCTGGATGGGTCGCCGCAGGGGCGCTGCCCATGTGCTGGCTGCACTGACCTTTTTCAGTTGTTTGTGATTGCATCCCTGTTTTATCTGCAGGACTGTCCTGTCCATTCCTGACCAGGCTTACGTTTGTTTTCTTTAAACATCTTTTCCCCATTTCCCGTCTACCTTTCTCTTCCTCCCCTGAGTCCTCCAGGCTCGATGTGCAGCTCTGACCGGGATTCATCACACTCACTTCCGGGCGCCCGATTTTTCTTTGTTCTCTGACTGCGGAGCTGATCAGAGTGTTTTTATGTTTCCAAATGTTTGATTCTTTCCCGGGTTATTTTTTATCTCTAGGCTTCTAACTTGATCCATTTGTGGTTGGAGAACCAGTTCTGAGTGATACCAGCTCCCTGAAATGCCAGTAGGTTCC